GCACAAATTTCTTCATACTGGCGCATTAAAAAATGCGTAAGCCGAGCATGTTTACAGAACTCAGTAACTATGAAAAAAAATGTTCATAAGCTTTTTGTGTCTTCTTCTTCTTTTTCTTCTTCTTCTTCTTCTTCTTCTTCTTCTTCTTCTTCTTCTTCTTCTTCTTCTTCTTCTTCTTCTCTTCTATCTGCTTCCCCCTTCACAGCTGGACAAAGAATTCCTTACAGTTGATTCGGAAGTCGCGACTCATACGGGGCTCCCTAAGCATCTACCCGTTCGGGTGTGACCAACGGAATCTTTTATTCATGGTCTGGTGCGGAGAAAAGGAGGGAGGAGGGGAAAAGGGGGCCGGGGTGGGGGTGGGCAGCCCTTCGGCGCGAGCACTGCGCGTAGCAAAGCGCAGGAGACATGGGGACTTGGCTGGTAGTTGAGCTCTTCGAGTGGGCGCCGGGTTGTACTCTACTCTGTTTGTCGCCAATCAAATGCTTTTCCCTACCTTTTTTAGGGGGATAAGAAACATTTCCTCGTATACCGCCCTTCTTGTGCTTAGTGCTTTACCATCACAGCATTGTCGTTGTGTTTTCAGTGTTTGTTTTCTTTTCCTTTATGCGTTTGTTTGTTTTTGATTGCTGTATGAGTACGGCCAATAAACTGAATTAGGCTCCTCCACGAGCTGCGCCCCCTCATGACCCTCATGCATGTCTGCGGGGAGTTATTAGCTGGATTGGCCCTCGCGGCCCGGCCCGCTCAATCTGCAGAGGGCCTGATAGCATCGTATCGAGTGACGCGGCGCCGCTCCAGGCGCCGCTCCAGGCGCCGCTCCAGGCTCGCCCCCCCCCCCCATCCTCCAGGGCCTCACTCCCCCCCATCCCCTTCCCCCTCCCCAACGCAAATAACACCCGCGCTTTTCAATTAAAAGCTTTGTATCGATCGATCGTGTGCATGTCTGCCTGTACACCGCAAGGCTGCCAACCCCCACCGCGCTGCGCGCCGCGGTAAAGGCCACAGTTGAAGAGACACTCCAGCACGCTCTGCTGCCACGCCCCGTATTGTAACAGTCGCAAGCGGAACCCCCTCGCGCTCCGGAATGAAACCCTCGGAGCGTCTGGTCCGAACGGCCTGGAGAACCAATATGCGCGGGAGAGTGAGAGAGAGAGAGAGTAAGAGAGAGAG